CGGCCGCCCGGGCCCCGCCAGGGACCCTGGCCGGCGCGCTGCGACCCTGCGCCGCGCGGGGGCTCTGCTCTGCTGGGGTCTGCGCTTCAGTGCCTGGCTCTCTCAGGTTGCTTCGGGCCCCTGTTGGGCCGCTTGTTCTCTTAGTCCTCCCGTCTCTGGGACCCCGTGGCTCTTTCTGCCTCAGTGTCTCTGATTCTTTTCCCTGTGGTCACCTCAGGGTCTCCTCCATCTCTTTTCCAGGCCCAGAGGAGGCGAATTCAAGGCCTCTGCCTCTGTCCGGATGGCCTCGGCTTGTTGCCCAGGTCCTGGCCCGAATCCTGGTTAACCTCCCCACATGCCACCAGCCAGCCCACCCAGGACACGGTAGTTCCCTCCTCATCCCCACTTTCATTGCCATTACCAGTTGAGCGCGTCTGGTGGCCTCCTTCCCTTGCTATTGCAATAACCGAATGCCAGCTAGCACATGTACCCCAAGCAATGCCACGTTCTGTCTCACGGCTCTCCTGGAAAGGACAAGGAAAGTTTGATGGTTCCCATTTTACACGCGGGGAAACTGAGGCGGAGGGAGGTAAAGTGAATTGTGTAACCACATGAGGAGAGGCAGCAGCGGATGCGGCCGAACCCTAGTTTTCTGACTCCAGAAGCAGCTGCCTCCCACCCCTCACTCAGCCTCTGCTGTCCCATGTTTACTATCCTTTCTCTCTTCAACTGTGCTTTCTCTAACTGTCCTAGCCAGTATCAGACAGGTAATTCTTGTTCTAGAACCAGGGATTCCATCATCAGCCTTGGGTGGGGAGAAGAGTCCAGATGAAACGACACGTTTAAGGTCCTTCCAACACCAAGATGTGTGGCTCATCCATTCCCTGCATCTCCAGGGTTCCTGGGACTTAGGGCCATTTTGTCTCCCCTAGGAACTGGGTAGGCGCCTTACCCATCTGTTGCCAGTTAGCCCTGAATAATCACCTGTACTTGGTAGATCTAACTGGACCTGACATTTGTTCACTCATTGCCAGGCCTTCTTTTGACCCATCAGCAGCATTTGACTCAGCTGATCACTCCCTCTTTCCTGAAACACTTGGATTTCTTATGATCTCATATGGCTGTCAAGGCTTAAGCATCTATATGCTGATGACGCCCACATTTCTGTCTCCAGCCCGGACCATCTTCCCTGAACCCCAGACCTGTGTATCCAGCTGCCTGATCAACAACTCCTTTAACTGTCTAATAGATATCTCAAAAGTAGCATGTCAAAAATTGGGCCCCTGATCTTCCCATCAAACCTGCTCCTCCCACAGTCTCCCCCAGTTCTGTTCCTGGCAGCTCCATTGTCCTATTGCTCAGGTCAAAGCAGTGGGGACATCTTGGACTCTTCACTTGCACATAATTCACTCCCAGCTTCCCTGCTCCCACCTGAGTCCTTTCACCTGGAATGTTGCGATAACCACCTCCCTGGCCTCCTTGCCTCTGCTCTTGTCCCCTTCTGTCTTCTCTCAATACAGTAGCCAGAGTGAGCCTGTTAAAATGTGAACCAGATTATGGCACTTCTCTATTCAGAGTCCGTCAGAGCAAAAGCCGAAGTTCTGATCACGTCAACAAGCCTTCTCTGATCCGGAGGCTGTCTTGCCTCTGACCTCACCCCCTACACCATCCCCTTGCTCCCCGGCCACACTAGCCTGCTCACTGTGTAATAACTTGATTTCAGCCAGCCCCCTCCCCACCAACCTTTGCCCAGCCTGAGCAAGCCTGAGCTCCCTTTTCCTGATGCTGGGGTGCCTTCCCCACGACTCTCCCCCTCTCCCTACCCCCTTCCCTGCTTTGTTTTTCTCCCTAATACTTACCACTTTCTAACATGATCTAAATTTTGTTTAGTTCATTTATGGTCTTTCCCCCCAACTAGATTGTGGGCTCCACTCCCACGGAAAAAAACCCACTGCCATCGAGTCGATTCTGACTCCTAGTGACCCTATAGGAGAGGGTAGAACTGCCCCATAGGGTTTCCAAGGCTGTAAATCTTTATGGAAGTAGACTGCCACATCTTTGCGGCTGGTGGGTTTGAACTGCTGACCTTTTGGTTAACAGCTGAGCACTTAGCCGTGGGCTCCGCTAGGACAGGAATTTTTGGTCTATTATGTTCACTGCTGTCTAAGCAGCCAGACCAGTGTCTGGCACTGTATAGGTGCCAGGGCGCCAGGATACAAGACACTGTCCACAGGGATAATAGTGTCTTAAGTGGCATGAGGTGGCAGGAGGGATAGGAGCAGGAAGAGGAGGGACTAACTCTGTGTGTGTGTGGGGTGGGGGCATTGAGAAAAAAGACTTCACAGAAGTGCTGATTGTTGTGGGTCTTGACAATGTAAAGAGGGTAGAAGGGACAGGGATGGGGGAAGAAACACCCTCGGCAGAGACCCTGAGGTGTGAGGGCAGAGGGAGTGTTATGGAAATGGCTGAACTGCGGACATTCACGGGTTACCTGTTATGGGCCAGGCCCTGCTCTCGGCACTGGGAGCTCAGTGGTGAACACAAGGGTTCTTGCCTGCATGGCACTTAGTCTAGAGGGAGACAGACAGGTAGACAGGCAGTTATAATGCTAGGTGATACACGGGGAGGGTGGGAGGAGGGCACCCAAGCCAGACCTGGGGGGAGGCAGAGAAGGCTTCCGGAGCAAACACGTACCTGAGCCCAGTGTAAGCAGAAGTGGGAGGTGTGAACTGGGCAGGAGGGCAGGGGCGGGAGATTAAGCCAGATAGGGAGGCTGGGGCCAGATGGGACAGGGCCTGTGTGTCATCTGGAAAGCAGTTGATGATTTAGCTGTCAGTCGAACAAATGGATGAACGAACAAGGTGTTGCTGTATAAAGAGACTGATTCCGCGAGCCACGTACAAAAATCCAATTAATTTCTCTATATTTGCACTTGCCTCAGCTCTGTGGAGAGTGAGTGTGAGCTGTGAGGTGGGGTGGAGTTTACAGGCTCAGCCCAGCCAAATGCAGTGTACTGTCTCTGTTATAGACTTGCTATATGACCTGGACAGAGCAGGAGAAAAATCATACAACAAAAAATCAAATCCACAAAAATGACCAGAGTTGCTGCTCTGACAGAGACTGGAGGAACCCCCAAGACTATGGCCCTAAGACACCCTTCTAATCTGGAACTGAAGCCATTCCCGGAGACCACCTTTCAGCCAAACAATAGACAAGCCCATAAAATAAACAATAACGCCTCAAGAGGAACATGCTCCTTAGGACAATCAATTGTAAGAGATCAAAAGGGCAACATTTGCCCAAAAGCAAAGATGAGAAGGCAGGAAGGGGTAAACAATCAGGATGAAAGGAAATGGAGAACTCAGGACAGAAATGGGGAGAGTGCTGACACATTGTGGGAAATGAAACCAATGTCATGGAACACTTTATGTACAAACTAGCGAATGGAAAACTATTTTGCTCTGTAAACTTTCACCTAAGGCACAATAAAAAAATTTTTTTTAAAAGTCTTCAGATAATAGTGTTTGGCTGGGGGTCGATGTCTGATTTTTCTGCAGCATACTTAGCATAATCAATTTTCTTCCTTCTTCAATTTAGGTGAATGGGCTTTTTAAATCATCACTTGAATTAAATGTATTAAAATGAAGTTGAATTAATAATATACTGTTCTAAAATTAATTTTAAAAAATAATTTCTTTGAGGCAGTTCCAAGACAAGCGACAGGCTGGGGGCAGGTCGATGTAGGGGTTGAGAGAATGGAAAAGGCTGGAGGACAGCAGTTGTATTGGTTTGACCGGGTGAGACTGGTGGCGCTGTTAAGCCAGAGGAACCCAGACAGAGGAGCAAGACGGGGGAGAGGAGGGACAATCGGCTTTTTGCACATGTTGAGTGTGAGGTGCCCGTGTGGCATCCCTGGAAGATCTGTGAGAGACCAGAACTGGAGAAACTAAGTTGTGAGTTGGCACTTTGATCAGAACACTTAACACACTTTATTGTAATTCTTTATTAAACTGGCTCCACTGCTAGACAGTAAGCTCCCTGTGGGCAGGGACCATGAGTACCTTGTCTCTCTATCACTCCTCTTTCCCTGGCATCTAGCACAATGCATAGCACGTAGTAAGATCCTAGTGAGTGCTTTTCAAATGAATGTGAAAGAAAAAAGTTACTCTTTTATTAGATGTTGTGCAAAAATGATAAAAGTTTTAAATCACTAAGGGTGTCTGCCAATAGCATATGACTGTGAAAGGGATTTGAACATCAAACAATATTGGGTAGTGATTGCCTAAGATCTCTGTCAGCTCCATGACTCTAAAGCAGGGAGCAAACTGGTTCGAATCTCTGCTGAGAATTTGCATTTCCATCCCAGATATACTGAATCAGAATTTACGTCTTAATCCCTAGGCGATTCTTACGTATAATAAATTTTGAAAACTACTGCTCTACTACTGGTTCTCAGAAACGGTCCTTAACCAGCAGCATTAGCATCAACTGGGAACTTGTTAGAAATGCAGATTCTCAGCACGGGTTCAAACAGTCAGAAGCCCTCCTCTAAATCAAGAATTCATGAATCACTTGCTCTGTGAGTCAAGCAGTAGAGGTCTCTGGTGCTCATATCTTTCTAGAGTAGATAACAAAATCCACCACTGTGGTGGTTTTCAAACATGTCTACAAATTCTTTGGCACTCCTTCCTTCAGGCGGTAGAGTTTAATTCCCCTCCCTTAGAATGCAGGCTGGCCCTAGTGACTCATTTCTAAA